TCCAATAGTTGAGACAGACAGGAGCGACCTGTTCTAAACCCATGTTGCCCTGGGTTGTGTAACTGATGGGTTTCTAGATGGGTGGTGATCTTGCTTCTTAGGACCCTTTCAAAGATTTTTATGATATGGGATGTTAGTGCTATCGGTCTGTAGTTCTTTGCTGTTGCTTTACTGCCCCCTTTGTGGAGTGGGGCTATGTCTGTTGGTTTTAGTAACTGTGGGACGACCCCCGTGTCCATGCTCCCTCTCCATAGGATGGTAAAGGCTCGTGATAGGGGCTTCTTGCAGTTCATGATGAACACAGAGTTCCATGAGTCTGGCCCTGGGGCAGAGTGCATGGGCATGTCATTTATCACCTGTTCGAAGTCATTTGGCGTCAGGATAACATCGGATAGGCTTGTGTTAACCAAATTCTGTGGCTCTCTCATAAAAAATTAATTTTGATCTTCGACTCTGTCTGGTCAACGGCTTGCTAAAAACTTAGTCATATTGGGACTTGAGTAGCTCACTCATCTGTGTAGGACCCATCTTGTTTAAGTAGGGGCCCAATACTGGACGTTGTTCTCGACTTTGATTTGGCATAGGAGAAGAAATACTTTGGGTTTCTTTCGATTTCATTTATGGCTTTTAGTTCTTCCCGCGATTCCTGACTCCTATAAGATTCCTTTAGCTTAAGTTCGATGCTTGCTATTTCTCTGACCAGTGTCTCCCTACGCATTTCAGATATATTGACCTCTTTTAGCCGCTCTGTTATTCTTTTCCGTCGCCTGTAAAGGGAGCGCCTGTCTCTTTCTATTTTACATCTACTCCTCCTTTTTCTTAGAGGAATAAGCCTTGTGCATACATCGAGTGCCACCAAGTTAATCTGTTCTAGGCATAAGTTGGGGTCTGTGTTGCTTAGTATATCTTCCCAGCTTATATCGGTTAGGACTTGGTTTACTTGGTCCCACTTTATGTTTTTGTTATTGAAATTGAATTTGGTGAATGCTCCCTCGTGACTAATCTCATTATGTTGGTCTAGGGCTCCGCGCATACATGTCTGAACCTCAATTATGTTGTGATCTGAGTATATTGTTTTTGATATGGTGACATTTCTTATCAGATCATCATTGTTAGTGAAGATGAGGTCCAGTGTATTCTCCATTCTAGTAGGCTCTATTATTTGCTGGTTTAAATTGAATTTTGTGCAGAGATTTAAAAGCTCGTGTGAGTGTGAGTTTTCATCAGAGCTGCCTCCTGGTGTTATTACTGCAACAATATTATTTGCTATATTCCCCCTATTTTAGGTGCCTTAAGTTGAAATCCCCTAGGAGCAAGATGTTGGGTGCAGGAGCTGGAAGATTTTCCAGACAGTGGTCAATTTTTAACAGCTGTTCCTGGAATTGCTGGGATGTTGCATCCAGAGGCTTGTAGACTACCACAATGACTAGGTTTTGGTTCTCGACCTTTACTGCTAAAACTTCCACTACATCATTTGAGGCATTAAGCAGTTCTGTGCAAACAAGTGACTCTGCAATATATAGGCCAACCCAGCCCCTTTTGCCTGTTCACTCTGTCACATCTGTATAGGTTGTAACCTGGGATCCATATTTCGTTGTCCAAGTGATCCTTTATGTGGGTCTCAGTGAAAGCCGCGAACATTGCCTTTGCCTCTGCAAGCTGTCCATGGATGAAAGGTATTTTATTGTTTGTTGCTGGCTTTAGACCCTGTATATTTGCAAAGAAGAATGTCATCGGACTGGAAAGAGGGAAAAAGGGAAATTATTTCCCAGTAAAAGTAGGCCTTAGACAAGGATGTGTGATGTCACCGTGGTTGTTTAATATATTTATAGATGGGGTTGTAAGAGAAGTAAATGCAAGGGTCTTGGCAAGAGGCGTGGAGTTAAAAGATAAAGAATCACACATAAAGTGGGAGTTGTCACAGTTGCTCTTTGCTGATGACACTGTGCTCTTGGGAGATTCTGAAGAGAAGTTGCAGAGATTTGGGGATGAATTTGGTAGGGTGTCAAAAGAAAAAAATTAAAAGTGAATACAGGAAAGAGTAAGATTTATGAGGATAACAAAAAGATTAGGTGATGAAAGATTGGATATCAGATTGGAGGAGAGAGTATGGAGGAGGTGAATGTATTCAGATATTTGGGAGTGGACGTGTCAGCAGATGGGTCTATGAAAGATAAGGTGAATCATAGAACTGATGAGGGGAAAAGGGTGAGTGGTGCACTTAGGAGTCTGTGGAGACAAAGAACTTTGTCCTTGGAGGCAAAGAGGGGAATGTATGAGAGTATAGTTTTACCAACACTCTTATATGGGTGTGAAGCATGGGTGATGAATGTTGCAGCGAGGAGAAGGCATGTCTGAGGGCAATGTGTGGTGTGAATATAATGCAGAGAATTCGTAGTTTGGAAGTTAGGAGGAGGTGCGGGATTACCAAAACTGTTGTCCAGAGGGCTGAGGAAGGGTTGTTGAGGTGGTTCGGACATGTAGAGAGAATGGAGCGAAACAGAGTGACTTCAAGAGTGTATCAGTCTGTAGTGGAAGGAAGGTGGTGTAGGGGTCGGCCTAGGAAAGGTTGGAGGGAGGGGGTAAAGGAGGTTTTGTGTGCAAGGAGCTTGGACTTCCAGCAGGCATGCGTGAGCGTGTTTGATAGGAGTGAATGGAGACAAATGGTTTTTAATACTTGACATGCTGTTTGAGTGTGAGCAAAGTAACATTTATGAAGGGGTTCAGGGAAACCGGCAGGCCGGACTTGAGTCCTGGAGATGGGAAGTACAGTGCCTGCACTCTGAAGGAGGGGTGTTAATGTTGCAGTTTAAAAACTGTAGTGTAAAGCACCCTTCTGGCAAGACAGTGATGGAGTGAATGATAGTGAAAGTTTTTCTTTTTCGGGCCACCCTGCCTTGGTGGGAATCGGCCAGTGTGATAATAAAAATAAATAATATAAACCCATATGGGCTACACAGCATCCAGCGGCCCAAGTTTTGTCTTGCAGGAAAAAGTGCCAAACCCACACAGTTTTTTATGCTTCTATACAGAACTCAGCAGAATAACACAGTACTGTACTACTTTAATAACACACATTACACCTTCACCTTTTGAAAGAGGCATTTCGACAGAGCATTAACATTGCAAGTTGTAAACTACATGCATCTTCCAAGGTGTTAAGTAGCAAAAGAAAACTAAATGAATGCTGAGAGTGTAAATATTAAGGAAAATACAGTCTTTCAGTGATAGAAACAAATCCAGCCTGTTTTGCAGACTTTATTTTATACACTCACCATACACAGTTCTCACATTAGTATAAAAGGTACTGCTGATGTTAAAGCCAAACTCGACATCCGTAAAAGAATATAGTACATTTATACATAGAAAAAATCAAAACCGTAATAAAAATACAAAAGCATTTTATTTCCACAGATAATGTTTAAAAACATGGTTTCCACAGTACAAAAGTTGAGTTCACTTTTACTATCAACAGTACCTACTGTTAACCTGTACATATGGCTAGGTATGCACAGACAGGAAAGGTCCTCTGTCTTATACACACAGTACAGGTGCTCCTCGTGTTACGATGGTTCAACTTACGATATTTCGACTTTACAATGGTGCAAAAGCAGTTATACTTTGGAGATGGAAACTTAAGATAATTACCCAGCATGAAGGCAGCAAGTCTGTAACTTGTATTAATTTATTAACCTTTCAATGCTGGTATTTAGTATAGTGATTATTTGTTTATTTACGTGCATTTACTTATTTATTTAGCATATCAATTTTGACTTAGATGGGTTCGCTAGAACGTAACCCTATCGTAATTTAAGGAGCACCTGTTGTACCTCTATTGTTATAACCCAGATTCACCCAAGAAAAAGCAGCCCTCAAAACAATCATAAACTCTAATAAAAGGCAATACACTATGCCCTTATTCAAGTCCCTAAGCCTACTATATTAGGACCCCCGTATCCACGGGAAATGTGTTCCAAGTACCTGCCGTGGATACTGAAACTGCGGATAGTAGTGAACCATATACATAAGCCATTTTTTGTTTACATACATACATACCTGTTATAAAATTTAATTGACAAATTATGCACAATAAGTGGAGAATTATCACTTTTTCTCTTAGGCTTTGAGAATGTCCACCATCACTACTATTGCACTCTGAGGCCATTATTAAGCAAAATTAAAGGTTATATTCGTGCCACAGTAAACTGTAGATAACTGAAAGTGAAGATACTAGGACCCATATATACGGGGGAGTCATACTGTAAATATAAATGCCATTCATTACATACTACTGTTTGCTCCACACTTTCAAAACATTTGACTGTAATATCAGTGTTCATCTATGACAATTCCTGGGAAATTATAATGGAACACAGACAATATACCAGAAACAAATCTTTTTTAATATTCTTTGTGCTGGTAGAATATGTAACTTAAACTAAAAAAATGCAACATAAATTACTGAATTCAAAGCAAAGCTTAAAATTTATTGTGTGGTTAATTACTGTAGTCTAATTTTATAACCTGTCATTAATACACTGCATACTGTAACAAATTCTTTTGCTGTAAATTGATTAAGTACAGCATTATTTAATCTTTTCTGATCAGATCATTACAAATTTTTAGTGACCACTCTGTAAACTGCATCTTAAATATTTTCTAAACTTCCAGATAATATCTTGTCTTGAGCCCATATATAACTATGTAATCTTTTAGTGGTAAGCAGTCTTAGTCCTAGTCTCAATTTTCCCACAATGCTGGGCATGCTCTGGGTCTTTGATTTATAGCATCTTTGATAAAGAATGAATTGAAAGAAATATTAAAATTATTATTATTATTATGCTTTTTTTTCAGCAAACAGACCATCTCCCACTGAGGTGGGGTGACCCAAAAAAAGAAAAAAAATTCACCATCATTCACTCCATCACTGTCTTGCAAGAGGTGCCAATACTACAGATCAAAACTAAAAATATCCCCACCCCTCCTTATTACTGTTATTATTTCTGTGGTCCTCTGGTTTTCCTGCCTAGAGTTACAGCTTCAATTTTTGCAAGAAGAATAGAGTACCAGTCTTCTCCTTTCTTCATCCACTGGAATTTGGTAGGAAGATCTTTGAGGTGATCAATTCCTTCAGTTACTGGCTCTGCTCCTGCCCTTTGCACTGCCTCAGGAAACTTAGCTGGGGATGCTGTAGCAATGTAACCATGGGGCACATCTTGCTTCCTACAGAAGCACATCAAAACACATTGTTGGAAAAAATATAAGCTTTAATTCACTGAGTGACTAAGTAAGTAAGTTTATTCAGGTATACACAAATACAGTTACATAGATTATCATACATAACAGCATATGTGTAGAGAACCTAGGATAACGAAAAAAAAGTCAGACAGAATGACTTATTTCCATTGGGGTCCTCTGTGCAACAACAACCGTTCCAGTAATATTTGAATCCACGAATTCATGTGAAAAACAATAACCATTGTGCATGGGGTTAGGTCAATAATGCAGTGATCTCATACTCTGTTACATGCTTGCACACATACATGCAGGCTAATGGAACTGACTTTAATGACATGAAGGATAGAAGTACCAGGTGAGATAGAATAACAATATACAAAATACTTAGGGGAACTGATAGAGTAGATAGGGACAAGTTATCCGAGAGACAAGAAACAGGAAATTAGGGACACAGATGGGATACAGTGATGTCAGAAAGTATTTATTCATTCTCAAAGTGATCAGAAAGCAGAATGATCTTGGTGAAAAAGTGGTGGAGGCAGGCTCAATGAACAGTTTAAAGAGCAGGTATGACAAGACCCACAAGCCTAGGAGTGAATTTGGTAAGAGGCAAGTTGAGAGGCAGGGCCAGAAGCTAAGACTTGATCCCTGTAGCCATTAATAGGAGAGTATATACAAGCATGTATACATATGCATACACACACATTTATGCATGCATACATAATACAGATGGGTCATAAATATGCATGAACGCCCATAAGTATGCCTTTAGCAGACAATTTGCCCGACATATTCGAGAAATAATAGGGTAACTATGGTTTTTCCATACTTTAATGGCTGGCCTGGAAACTTACTGGACTTAAATCCAATACAGAACATTCGGACAAAAAAGTCTCACCAAGTTCCAATCATGGTGGACCCAGATGTTCACCATGAACATTGAAAGGAAACAATTATAAAGCTAGAAAACATGCTAAGTACAACAAACACTTGATGATGCATAAGTCTGAATACAATTGTGGATAGACAGCAAGAGGAAGGCATTCAAAAATTCTTTGGATGAGAGTACAGGATGCTTCTTACCGTTGGTAGTGATAAGTGGCAGCAACTGCAGTGTGTGGACACACTATATAATTATGTTGTTCGTGTATTCTCTGCATCGTTTCAACTATTTTGTCATCATCAACTACAAAGGACTCTGTGGACATGAAAATATTACAATTTAAAAAAATATGAGTTAAAAAATATATAATACATGTAAAGATTCTGAACGGATTTATTTACAGCGTACAATTTAGTACTTTGTTGCTCCTTAGCAAGTGTTTGATAGCAGTGTTATAGTCTATTCTTAGTATTCAAAGGCTGTTTTATTTTATTCTCTAACGAAAAAGTTACCTAAGAATGTGTATGAATTTTAATTTTCACAGGAAGAGAAGTTGTGCAGAAGCGTAACTTGGAACTTTGTTGGGAATGAGACTATGTCATGGACACTCCTATCTAAGCAGGCAAAGGAGGGTCACTAATAAATCTCTGCAGTACCAGGTCTATGGACAGCTGCCTCTCATTAAAGACTGCTGTGAGGTAAGACACATATGCAACAGTTAGGTATCTTTATTGTGAAACGTTTTGCCTACACAGTAGGCTTCTTCAGTCAAGTACAGAAAAGTTGATAGAAGCAGAAGATACTTGAAGACGATGTAATCAGTCCATCACCCTTAAAGTTTTGAGGTGGTCAGTCCCTCAGTCTGGAGAAGAGCATTGTTCCATAGTATGAAACAATATGACTGAAGAAGCCTACTGTGTAGGCGAAACGTTTCACAATAAAGATACCTAACTGTTGCATATGTGTCTTACGTAACAACCTGTCGGTATTTTATACCATTTTAATGTTCAAAGACTGCTGTGGATGGTAGGAAGAGGGAAACGAGGAAAAAGAGGTTACTATGAAAAATATAAATATAATACTAAACTATATAATCACAGAGATAGCACCATAATGAAAAAGGTAAGGATTTCAAGCCTGAGATTATCATCATCATCTTAATAGGGAAGCATTAAACCCATAAGAGCCATACAGTGCATGGTGATGGGAGGGGTGGGGGTAATCAAGTTTGCCTCTTGCCACATACAAAGGTAATCCAACATTTGAGAAGTACTAAACTTTGTGAACAGCTTACCAACAATGACCTTCTTTAAGGAGTCCATTATATTCTGGGGTATGGCAACACTGCCTTCCTTGTCAAATATATCCATAATTTCCTTAACTCTAGTTGTTTCACTACTAGCATACATATACACCAGCCTCTCTACATTAAAAGCCACCTGAAATATAGTACAGAAATATTAAAGTTACCAAAATAAAGAAAAATCAAGGAGTGTTTATACCCAAAAGGAATAAAAATAAATACTGTATCTGATAATCTTACAGTCAGACTAAAAAGATAAAGATTTTATTTATTTGCCAAGGTTACAATGTACAATTACAATTTTGATTTGCTAAGCACAAAGAAAACCACTATCATGTTGGGGCATTTCAGGCAGACTAATCCTAAAAAATCATTCATTTATGATGATGCGAGTAGATTCTAAAGGAAAAAACGAAGTTATCTCCAGAATGCTAGTCCATTTAGGAGTTTAAGACAAGGTATGACAAGCAGTGCTAAAATGCTAAACAAGTAGATAAATACATAGATGCCTTTTTTATGCATAAAGAAAACTTAGGTAATTGGGTAATATCAGACACTAATCATTCAAGTAAGGTTAGAATCTATAAATAAATCCTATCAAAACTTAAATAGAGTGCTAATTCTTAAAGTTTAAGTTTGGTATTAACCCCTCGACTGTTGCAACCCCCAATCCTGAGGTGTCTCCTGGGGTCGCAAACAAAATTATTTTTCTTAAGAAATGATAGAGAATCTTTTCCCGATTGTAATGACACCAAAATAACGAAATTTGATGGAAAACTGACGGAATTACACTCTCGCGAAGTTAGCAGCCTCGGCGATATTTACAAATCGGCAATTTTGCCCACTTTTAGCCCTATTTTCGGCTAATTCCGTTGTTCCAGTCGACCAAACTCATAGCTATTTCTTTAGAACTCCATTTTTTCTATTGATTGAGTACAAGAAACTGCCCATTTACCGATTTCAACTACCCAATAACGTGGTCAGAAATTTGTAATTTAGCCAATTTCACGAAAATTAAAAAAATATGACAATTTCAAAATAAGGTCCAGAATGAACAATGCAGACATTCCTGGCTCTAAAATAACATTGTTTTTGTTCATCAGTCATATCTCCATGCCCCTTGGATATTACTTTTGCTTTCTATTTTGAATTTTTATTCAAACAAAAAATAGAAGATTTACTGTTATGCAGACTACTGCAATATTGTAATAATTGTACAAATAATGTCAACCCATTCATGACTTCATATTAGAATGGCTAGTTGGACATTTATTGGACAATGACATCAATTGTTTACTTTTGAACATCGGCAAAAATCAAACATTTCCCCTACTTTGAGCTCCATTTCCAGATTCTTTTCATAGTAAAACCAATCAAAATCGCCTCTATTTCTATAATATGTTTTCCATTCTATCAAATGAGACCAAGAAAACGAGAATACAATCATAAATACTATACGAAAATAGACCACAAATTCGGCATTTTAATTAAAAAAAAAAAAACGGTCGGAGATTTTTTTTCTCGTTATACACTGCGTGCTCCAGGATTTTTTTATATGGTGCACACTGACCCATTTTCTCACATGTGGGCCTACCACCTTTCTCCTGCTTGATTTGAAGCCGCTAGAATTTATGAGTATATATACTGTCAAAGTGGGAAGTCTGAATGTGCGTGGATGTTGTGCAAATGATAAGAAAGAGATGACTGTGGATGTTATGAATGAGAAGAAGCTGGATGTCCTGGCTTTAAGTGAAACAAAGCTGAAGGGGGTGGGAGAGTTTCAATGGAGAGGAATAAATGGGATTAGGTCAGGGGTTTCAAACAGAGTTAGAGCTAAAGAAGAAGTAGCAATAATGTTGAATGATAAGCTGTGGCAGGAAAAGAGGGACTATAAATGTATTAATTCAAGGATTATGTGGAGTAAAATAAAGATTGGATGTGAAAAGTGGGGTATAGTAAGTGTGTATGCACCTGGAGAAGAGAGAAGTGTAGAGGAGAGAGAGAGATTTTGGGAAATGTTGAGTGAATGCGTGGGGAGTGTTTTGAATCAAGTGTGAGAGTAATGGTGGTTGGGGATTTCAATGCTAAAGTGGGTAAAAATGTTATGGAGGGAGTAGTAGGTAAATTTGGGGTGCCAGGGGTAAATGTAAATGGGGAGCCTTTAATTGAGCTATGTGTAGAAAGAGATTTGGTAATAAGTAATAATATTTTATGAAAAAGAGGATAAAATAAATATACAAGGTATGATGTAGCACGTAATGAAAGTAGTTTGTTAGATTATGTATTGGTGGATAAAAGGTTGATGGGTAGGCTCCAGGATGTACATGTTTATAGAGGGGCAACTGATATATCGGATCATTATTTAGTTGTAGCTACAGTTAGAGTAAGAGGTAGATGGGAAAACAGGAAGGTGGCAACAACAAGTAAGAGGGAGGAGGAAGTGTATAAACTAAGGGAGGAGGAAGTTCGGGTGAGATATAAGCGACTATTGGCAGAAAGGTGGGCTAGTGCAAAGATGAGTAGTGGGGGGGTTGAAGAGGGTTGGAATAGTTTTAAAAATGCAGTATTAGAATGTGGGGCAGAAGTTTGTGGTTTATAGGAGGGTGGAAAGCAAGAGGAAAGAGGAGTGATTGGTGGAATGATGAAGTAAAGGGTGTGATAAAAGAGAAAAAGGTAGCTTATGAGAGGCTTTTACAAAGCAGAAGTGTTATAAGAAGAGCAGAGTATATGGACAGTAAAAGAAAGGTGAAGAGAGTGGTGAGAGAGTGCAAAAGGAGAGCAGATGATAGAGTGGAAGAGGCACTGTCAAGAAATTTTAATGAAAATAAGAAAAAAATTTTGGAGTTAAACAAGTTAAGAAAGCCTAGGGAAAGTATGGATTTGTCAGTTAAAAACAGAGTAGGGGAGTTAGTAGATGGGGAGATGGAGGTATTAGGTAGATGGCGAGAATATTTTGAGGAACTTTTAAATGTTAAGGAAGAAAGAGAGGCGGTAATTTCATGCACCTGCCAGGGAGGTATACCATCTTTTAGGAGTGAAGAAGAGCAGAATGTAAGTGTGGGGGAGGTACGTGAGACATTACGTAGAATGAAAGGGGGTAAAGCAGCTGGAACTGATGGGATCATGACAGAAATGTTAAAAGCAGGGGGGGGATATAGTGTTGGAGTGGTTGGTACTTTTGTTTAATAAATGTATGAAAGAGGGGAAGGTACCTAGGGATTGGCAGAAAGCATGTATAGTCCCTTTATATAAAGGGAAAGGGGACAAAAGAGATTGTAAAAATTATAGAGGAATAAGTTTACTGAGTATACCAGGTAAAGTGTACGGTAGGGTTATAATTGAAAGAATTAGAGGTAAGACAGAATGTAGGATTGCGGATGAGCAAGGAGGCTTCAGAGTGGGTAGGGGATGTGTAGATCAGTGTTTACATTGAAGCATATATGTGAACAGTATTTAGATAAAGGTAGGGAAGTTTTTATTGCATTTATGGATTTAGGAAAGGCATATGATAGAGTGGATAGAGGAGCAATGTGGCAGATGTTGCAAGTATATGGAATAGGTGGTAAGTTACTAAATGCTATAAAGAGCTTTTATGAGGATAGTGAGGCTCAGGTTAGGGTGTGTAGAAGAGAGGGAGACTACTTCCCGGTAAAAGTAGGTCTTAGACAGGGATGTATAATGTCACCATGGTTGTTTAATATATTTATAGATAGGGGTTGTAAAAGAAGTCACTGGTAGGGTGTTTGGGTGAGGGGTGGGATTAAATTATGGGGAATCAAATTCAAAATGGGAATTGACACAGTTACTTTTTGCTGATGATACTGTGCTTATGGGAGATTCTAAAGAAAAAAATGCAAAGGTTAGTGGATGAGTTTGGGAATGTGTGTAAAGGTAGAAAGTTGAAAGTGAACATAGAAAAGAGTAAGGTGATGAGGGTATCAAATGATTTAGATAAAGAAAAATTGGATATCAAATTGGGGAGGAGGAATATGGAAGAAGTGAATGTTTTCAGATACTTGGGAGTTGACGTGTCGGCGGATGGATTTATGAAGGATGAGGTTAATCATAGAATTGATCAGGGAAAAAAAGGTGAATGGTGCATTGAGGTATATGTGGAGTCAAAAAACGTTATCTATGGAGGCAAAGAAGGGAATGTATGAAAGTATAGTAGTACCAACACTCTTATATGGGTGTGAAGCTTGGGTGGTAAATGCAGCAGCGAGGAGACGGTTGGAGGCAGTGGAGATGTCCTGTCTACGGGCAATGTGTGGTGTAAATATTATGCAGAAAATTCGGAGTGTGGAAATTAGGAAAAGGTGTGGAGTTAATAAAAGTATTAGTCAGAGGGCAGAAGAGGGGTTGTTGAGGTGGTTTGGTCATTTAGAGAGAATGGATCAAAGTAGAACGACATGGAAAGCATATAAATCTATAGGGGAAGGAAGGCGAGGTAGGGGTCGTCCTCGAAAGGGTTGGAGAGAGGGGGTAAAGGAGGTTTTGTGGGCGAGGGGCTTGGACTTCCAGCAAGCGTGCGTGAGCATGTTAGATAGGAGTGAATGGAGACGAATGGTAGTTGGGACCTGATGATCTGTTGGAGTGTGAGCAGGGTAATATTTAGTGAAGGGATTCAGGGAAACTGGTTATTTTCATATAGTTGGACTTGAGTCCTGGAAATGGGAAGTAAAATGCCTGCACTTTAAAGGAGGGGTTTGGGATATTGGCAGTTTGGAGGGATATGTTGTGTATCTTTATACGTATATGCTTCTAAACTGTTATATTCTGAGCACCTCTGCAAAAACAGTGATAATGTGTGAGTGTGGTGAAAGTGTTGAATGATGATGAAAGTATTTTCTTTTTTGGGGGATTTTCTTTCTTTTTTGGGTCACCCTGCCTTGGTGGGAGACGGCCGACTTGTTGAAAAAAAAAAAAAATAAAAAATATACACGTCAAACACGGTGGCTCGTAAGACATATATATACGACTGAAACAGTCAAAGGGTTAAACATAGCCAATACTACAAGAAGAAACAAGAGAGCCAAGGCTTATTCTGGATGACGGGCATTTATGAGTGAAGAATGAATGGAGGTGGCTTGTACAATTAATGTGTGATCACATGTACATCAAAAAGAACAATTACACAACAAATATCAGCTTGGTTATTCAGTGAATTATTGAGTGCCCAAAAAACTCATTACTTTCAGCAAATTGAAGTAGAATTCTACATTCATAACTTGAAGATTATAGCTCATTATTAATGTAGCTGATGAATTATGGTCATGCTTATTATTTTCCTATACATCAGCATAGAGCAAACCTCCCCTTCCTTACCTGCTTATTCATGATATAATGGCTTAAAAAATCATGCAAACAATTACCTGTTAACTAACTTGTATTACTAAACAATTTGGCACAAAAGGCATAAAAAAAGCATTACTTCATTTTTTTTAACTTGCTGGTTGTTTCCCACAGAGGTAGGTGACCCAAAAAAGAAGAAACACTTTCATCATCACTCACTCTATCAATAATTTTCCAGAGGCATACTGATACTACAGTTAAATTCCACATATAGTGGAACCTTGAAAATTGAACGTACCAAATATCGAACGTTTCAAAAATAAGAAATTTGGTTAACTTTCTTACCTGTATATCCATGGCAGAGGCTAGTGTCTGATGAACTTGTTCCTTTTGTGAGAAGACTCCCTTCTCTATGACTCTCTCTACACTGTTATTGACATTAACTCCAGCTACCAGTGTTATAGGAAGACCCATTTTCTGTGCCAGACAACCAGCTTGTGACAAAAATTTCTTATAAACAGAATGTAATTGTGAAATACTATGTGTTCTGGAATGAAAGCAAACAAATTATGGTTAAAATAAAAAATTCTGAGAGCCTTTGAGCAATATTTGCTAAGTATGAGATTTATCAAGTCTTGCAGAGGGACGCACATACATACAACACACCAATAAACAAAATCACTGAAGTTTCAACATCGCACCACCCCATAGCTCATTCTCCAGAAACGTGGACCAATGTCTGACATAATGACACTACATCTCACTCCTTCCGACACCACCTCACCTTTCAATGCCTGTCTTCATCCAATGTTATTATGTACTGTATTGTACATATATATTATTTGTGTGCTTCTCTGTAGTACTTGATGAAATTTATGCCCGAGTGAAACCATGACCAATAAAATCTTGCCATGTTAAATGTCTTTGTTTTTTCCCCTCACCTTGGGAAATACTGGTTTAATTATAAAACTGGTACAATAATTTGTGGCTAATATGAAAATACTACATTCTGTATATACCAGGGGTCCCCAACCTGAGGTCCGAGGGCCTTATGTGGCCTTTCTAGGAAATGGATGTGGCCCTCACAAGAAATTATGAATTTACTTTTATGTAGGTTCCACACTGCACAGTGTGGAACCTACATAAAATATTTAAAGCCATTTTACACTAAGAACCTTATTGCAGCCCTCCTTTAAATTTGGCTTTTCAAATTAGCCTTTTCATACTAAAAGGTTGGTGACTACTGGTCTACACAATACTGTTCTCAAACATTTGGATAATTTGAAAATTATGTATTAATACTTAGCCTGAAGTATCTATCAACCTATATTTTTTTTTCTACATACAGTAAAGAAATAGGTATACAGTTATAATAAGACTTCAAAGAAAAATTCTGAGATTTCTCCTTAAGAATGTTTGAATATTCTCTCTCTCTTGTTTTACTCCATCTTTTATAAGTAATTATATATAAACAGTATCAGCAAATACTGTTGAGTGAATGCGTGGGGAGTTTTGAATCAAGTGTGAGAGTAATGGTGGTTGGGGATTTCAATGCTAAAGTGGGTAAAAATGTTATGGAGGGAGTAGTAGGTAAATTTGGGGTGCCAGGGGTAAATGTAAATGGGGAGCCTTTAATTGAGCTATGTGTAGAAAGAGATTTGGTAATAAGTAATACATATTTTATGAAAAAGAGGATAAATAAATATACAAGGTATGATGTAGCACATAATGAAAGTAGTTTGTTAGATTATGTATTGGTGGATAAAAGGTTGATGGGTAGGCTCCAGGATGTACATGTTTATAGAGGGGCAACTGATATATCGCATCATTATTTAGTTGTACCTACAGTTAGAGTAAGAGGTAGATGGGAAAAGAGGAAGGTGGCAACAAGTAAGAGGGAGGTGAAAGTGTATAAACTAAGGGAGGAGGAAGTTCGGGCGAGATATAAGCGACTATTGGCAGAAAGGTGGGTTAGTGCAAAGATGAGTAGTGGGGGGGTTGAAGAGGGTTGGAATAGTTTTAAAAATGCAGTATTAGAATGTGGGGCAGAAGTTTGTGGTTATAGGAGGGTGGGGGCAGGAGGAAAGAGGAGTGATTGGTGGAATGATGAAGTAAAGGGTGTGATAAAAAGAAAAAAGGTAGCTTACGAGAGGCTTTTACAAAGCAGAAGTGTTATAAGAAGAGTAGAGTATATGTAGAGTAAAAGAAAGGTGAAGAGAGTGGTGAGAGAGTGCAAAAGGAGAGCAGATGAAAGAGTGGGAGAGGCACTGTCAAGAAATTTTAATGAAAATAAGAAAAATTTTTGGAGTGAGTTAAACAAGTTAAGAAAGCCTAGGGAAAGTATGGATTTGTCAGTTAAAAACAGAGTAGGGGAGTTAGTAGATGGGGAGAGGGAGGTATTAGATAGATGGCGAGAATATTTTGAGGAACTTTTAAATGTTGAGGAAGAAAGGGTGACGTTACACATCCCTGTCTAAGACCTACTTTTACCGGGAAGTAGTCTCCCTCTCTTCTACACACCCTAACCTGAGCCTCACTATCCTCATAAAAACTCTTTACAGCATTTAGTAACTTACTACCTATTCCATATACTTGCAACATCTGCCACACTGCTCCCCTATCCACTCTATCATATTCCTTTTCTAAATCCATAAATGCAATGAAAACTTCCCTACCTTTATCTAAATACTGTTCACATATATGCTTCAATGTAAACACTTGATCTACACATACCCTACTCACAGTAAAGCCTCCTTGCTCATCTGCAAACCTACTCTCTGTCTTACCCCTAATTCTTTCAATAATAGCCCTATCGTACACTTTTCCTGGTATACTCAGAAACTTATTCCCCTATAATTTTTACAATCTCTTTTGTCCCCCTTCCCTTCATATAAAGGAACTATACATGCTCCCTGCCAATCCCTAGGTACCTTCCCCTCTTTCATACATTTATTAAACAAAAATACCAACCACTCCAACACTATATCCCTCCCTGCTTTTAACATTTCTGTCATGATCCCGTCAGTTCCAGCTGCTTTACCTCCTTTCATTCTACATAATGCCTCATGCACCTCCCCCACACTCACATCCTGCTCTTCTTCACTCCTAAAAGATGTTATATCTCCCTGGTCAGTGCATGAAATTACTGCCTTAAAATATTTTCATCCTTAGCTTATAGTGAGTGGTGAATATATTTACTGTAGGAAGTGTAAATAAATGAAGAGTGGGTATAATTGAAAACTGCTGCATTAGCAAAACACCGTAAAGCAAAGAGCTATAAAGCAGTACCAGCCTGTGTTTAGATTGCTTAAATTGCATTATCTGCACTGTCACTTACTTAGGTAATGTACTGTACTTTATTTTTTGCATGTAAAATTCTCAATGTGATGGCTTCTGGACTCCTGTGTCTGTTACCTGATTGCTCACTGTGTAGCAAATACAAAGGTGAGGGGGAGTTGTATAAAGGCATACAAAAACACTGATACCCATTATACATTACTTTTAATATTATTTGTGAAGATGGTCCTGATCTACATGGGGAAATGAGTTTAGAAGAAATAAGAAAATTAAATTTCAACTTCTTAATACAAGAGTTACCTGTAATGTTGCCTGCAGCTCCAGTAGGTACTACCACTTGAACAGGCTTGCCTACACTACCACACACCTGGTAGTAAGCGAAGAAGTAATGAGCTGCCTGTACCAAGATACGACCCCAGTTGATGGAATTAAGAGAGATGAGATTGTGAGTGGAAACTAACTTCTCCTCAGCAAAGCACTGCTTGATTGGCTTGTCTAATTCATCAGAGTTTCCTTCAGCTACAAGAAGAAGTATAGAAGAAATATACTGTTAAAACACAAAGCAGAGAAAATTGTCACTTGATAATATGAGCTAATTTTGTGAGAACCCTTTTAAAGCTAGTTTACAAAGACCAGATTCACTATTAAGCACAATTTGGAGTGAGAACTTTAGGTGATATTTTGGTTCATCCCAGAATATTATGAGGTTGTGATTAATGGAGAGAAAAAAAGTGAAGCATAAGACAGGTAAACTGAAAAAAAAAAAAAAAAAAAAAAAAGGTCAGGTAAAAAAAAAATATCAAAAGCTGGATCAGGAAAAAAGAGATGAGGAGAAAGTCAGGGTTAAGTTAAGTCAGGTGTGTAGATAAATGGTTCAGAGAACTGAGAGGTTGATAAATTAGACACATGGGCAACACTTGGTATCTTTATTCTGGAAATGCTTTACCACAGTGCTTTACCACACAGTGCTTTACCACACAGTGCTTTACCACACAGTGTCTTCATCAATCCAATACAAAGAAGAATACTGAAGATCAGGAGTTTGAGGGACTGATTACCTCCAACTCCTTCTGATCTTCACCATTCTTCTTTGTATTGGACTGATGAAGCCAGGGTGTGGTAAAACACTTCCAGAATAAAGATATCCAAGTGTAGACCATGTGTCTAATTTATCATTACATCAGGTGTGTTTGGGAAGATTAGACCAAACTTTGAATGTGAGATATAAATGTGTGTAAAACATTACAAAAGATTACCTTTGCTGTAATGGAAGCTTATACCACAATATACATTTTCCTATTCCTTATCCTCCAAGCCATAGCATGATGTTGTTAGTGTGAAAATAGTGAAATGTTAGGGAGTGCAGGACAATAATTTCTAATTTTTTCTTGCAAAATCACATTCCTTCATTGGCCAAGAATACATCTTTTTTATATACTGTATTTGTAGGTTTAGAAGATACTGCAGTATCTAAATTCAGTACTATTCTACTGAATTCATTCCATCACTGTGCCTGATATCACATGTTATCTTCACATTATTTCCCACTGCAAAGTTGTAAGTTTACCAAAACTTTCATGATAATAACAATAATTATACTGAGCACAGCTCTTGCCCTCAGGAACTTAGCAGTTTTGCACTTGCTTGTTATATATGGCCATGATAATCACACTGTAATCTCTTGCATATGTTGTTTGTCTGTTGCTAATGCCATGTTGATGTGCTGCTCACATTGGATTTTTTCTCATACAAGTTCTGTTACTAATCCTGAAGAAGAACACAATGTTCTTTCATCCCATAAACATTTTATTATACAACCTACAACACAATCTTCCCTGACACTTTTATTCATGAGAAATTCAAGTCTTTTGCAATCTGTGGAGCAAACTTCTGAACCACACCTGATATTCTTCCAATTTTTCTACTGGTTAAGAAGTGATAAGTGGGTTTACCTGGTAGCTCTAGCTTTTGTATGGTTACTAACTGTTGCACCAAGTCATATAATGATAATCATGTATGCCTCTAGAAATATCATCCTTTCCAAAACAAACTTCTAAGAGAACATACCACAAAAGACATGAACATTATCCTCAATAACTGTAGTCATCTGTAGCTCCTGAATAGGTGTGCAAAGTCCATGAGGCAGGAGCACAATGATGTCTATACAATCTTGTCCTCGTACACTTTCAATGGCTGCACTACCAGTGTCACCAGATGTAGCTGCAAGTACCAACCATCATTTTATCTCTCAATTTTTTTATGTCTCTACAGACACTGCTGATAATTAATATTTACCTTAATTCGGAATTCTATAAGCTGTTGAATTAAAGCAAAAAGTTTACGCAGCAGGCATCATAAATATGCAGACTACTTGCTTAGCAGATTAAAAAAGTGCCAAGACAATTTATATATGGAAGATGGTGCTCCTTGCCATACTGCCAAAAACATAAAGAATGGGCTAAATTACTGTGATTGTTTCCCTACTTTAATGACTGGCTTGGAGACTCACTGGAATTTAATCCAATACCATTTGGAAACTTATTAAGTGCAAGCTTTGTGACATGGATGTGTCCTCTAACCCCAAAATGTTGAGTGCCATTAACCAGGTGTGGGATGGTACTGACTTTTCTTTGCTCCATAAGTTAGTCTTACAAGTGCCCAGGAGACTTAATTAAGAAGTGCATCAAGGTTGAATCTAAGAAATACAGTTGGTGAGCAACAGCATACATTTTTCACAGGCTCTGTGCCTTGGCTAAACGCTCTCGCTTCAACGGTGATGGGCCTTGTTCGATCCCAAACAAAAGAATGTAGAAATATTGACGTGTTTTTTCACCTGTTGTCTATGTTACCCACTCATATCAAACATGGGAACTGGCGTTTAGTCGACTGGGTGGGTCCGTCTACCTGTGAGCACTGAACCTAGGGAGGGCTGGTCACGACCGTTCTTGCGGGGCATTTAGCACACCCAGAACTTCATCTCAAGTGTAAAATATCTTATCAGGTAAACATCATTTCAGGTAAACAACCTCTCCTCACTTAATGATGGAGTTCCATTCCTAAGACCATGTCAGTAAATGAATTTGTTGGTAAGTGAGGAGCATACTATAATGGTAGTGGGTTTGTGTCAACCATCTTTGTTATTGTTTGAATATCACCTTTGCACCATTTATAGCATTTCTGGTATATTTTCAAATGTTTCTACAGTAGTGTACAGTATATTGTAATAAACAGAATAAGAGGAAAAATCAGCTCTAATATACATTATTTAGGTATGCATACTGGTCAGAGAGCCAGTCATAAGTCTGAGTTGTCGGTATATGTTGCTAAGTGAGGAGAGGCAGTAATTAAAACAACAGGTTATTGTGAGCAGTCTTGCTTACTGTGTCATTCTGTTTATGCACATGCATATTTATGATGCCAACTGTACATCGTTTACAACAATGACCTTAAATTCAGTAATAATAATAATAATAATAATAATAATAATAATAATAAAATGTTTTTTGGTCATTTTAGGAACCAGGAAAATATTCCTGTATTCCATAAGCCCAGCTGCCTCTATCTAGAGTAATGCAAAGGATAGCACAGAGTGCAACATAGGTTTTTAATGTAGTTAAATATCAGTTCTGAGGACTTGAAGCTGGCCAGATGAAGCAGTCACAAGTTATCACATGGAACCTAATATCCCAATTTCTTCAATAAAATTGACAAACTGGCATCACAGCCCAAAACTAATTTAAACCAATTTTGAAAGATTAAAGAAGGGTCATTCTTAGGTTATCACAGTGACCAATATCCTAAACTACAGTACACAAGACTAAGCTTCAAGTCACACAAGTTACATTTTCAAATTATTGAGGTTGATGGTTTGAAGCCAATAATGTTGCATCGTTTACTTTTGATACTACTGAACACAAAACATGCTTGTTAAATTTAGAATTATGCACATGCTAAATAAATATTACTGGCTTTACCACAATGTAAGTTGTATTTTAAGGTGATAAAGATATGAAAAATCTAAAAAAGAGGGTAGTTCAACAAGTTCAATATCACGAGTTCCATGGATCCAGTACAACATTTAAGGCTCATGGGCTACACATAAATAATTTTATCTTTGAATAATACAAGACCTTGTACAACAAGCAATGCCAGCATATATGGGGGGGAGGGTAGGGTAAGAGTACAAAATGATTATTATATTACAAAGCCTGGATGATTTGGAACTAAACCTTCTCTATCAGTATAATAGAGCTGTAACACAGTAGATTATAAGCCTTATAGGTTGCCTTTTATTAATGAAGAATTTTATGACTCTACTCCTGAGTTTTGTTTGAATGTTCGCAGGCGACAAAAAATTGACCAGCAGGCTACACATGGCCTACAGGCCTGTAAATGAACCACCTTGATCTAGAAAATACATGTAAATACTGAGCATTTCTTTTGCATTCTTTATAAATGCCAATGTCGCTCATTCTGACCTTAACTTATTAGCTGGAACTTTTGTGTTACGGTAATTTTTTTTTTTTTAGGGTTTTCAACATGTTAGTTAAAAATATTAAACAAATTTGTTCACCTTTTCGACCTGTCACTCAAAACATCTGTAAAACTTACCAACAAGAACTGTGCAGTGCTGTCCGTTCTTGCTGAGAAAATAGTTCAGTAATCCGGCTACAACAGACATACCTAAGTCTTTGAATGCCAGAGTTGGGCCATGGAAGAGCTCCACAACATTGAGTCCATCCGGTAAATGCTTGATGCGTACAATTTCTGGAACTCTGAACCTTGTTAGGCTAGTCTTAATGACATCTGAGGAAAAATATATACAGTACAGTATACACAGCTAACCCACATACTGGAGATGCAACTAGATTAGTATTTAGTCTGTCCTACACCATTGTTCTGAAATTGGTGGGTCTTATCAACCAAGCTGTGATGGCTATGTGAGCAAGCAAGGTACTAACAACAACAGCCCAACAGCCTGGATGAACAGGCAATCAACAAGGAAGCCTGCAAGGGTAGAAGAATCCTTGAAACCACACACAGGTATGTCATCATTAGTACACATTATTTGTGCCATTCTAAAAAGGCAGCTAGTGGTTTGTGCTTTTATATCACACTGGCCATCTGCCACTGTGATAGGGCAAAAAAAAAGGAAACATTCACCATCTTTCAGTTAACAAATATATCGCTAGAAGTGCAGGCATAATTCAAATGACCCTTTGAACTAATACCTTCCCACTCCTCTTCCAGAGTGCTAACATTGTACTTGCCACCTCTCAGATCAAAGGTGGGCTAACCGGTGTCCCTGAATCCCTTTGTCACACTCCACCTAAACATCAAATACTTCAAACCACTTGTCTCCTCTCACTCTGCTCTAACACACTGACACAGGCTGGAAAATGTTTTCTTTTATGGGTCACCTTGTCTAGGTGGGAAGCAGAAATTTAAATGTTAAAAAAAAAGAAAACTGTTGTTTGCTCATAATGATTTTGAAAAATGGTTTAATGAGTATATTCTGAAGTGAAGAACAAAGTTGAAAATCTACTTTCAATTATAATGACAATGATCATAATAACAATATTAGGTGGTATCAAAAATTAAGGTTTGGTTCTTAAAATACAGAAATGTAAAACTAAACTGAGGTACACTATCACATATTATCCATCATGAAAAAACCTGCAAATATAAACTAAATATAATCACAACAACACTAAGTAAAAATCCTTAGGCTAACATTATGTCTTAGGAACATTTATAATGAATGACAACTTACTGTCTAAGGATTTGTCTGAAATTTCCTGCTCATCGATAAACTTGCGTGCAATGGCATATACCAGCTCTGGGTAGGAATAATTACACCACTGCTCTAAGTGTGATTTGCTCAGCTCTGGGATTGTTTCAGGCATGTACAACCCACCATCTCTTGCATATCCTGAAACATAATATGCATTACTGTACTAATATAAGTAATAATACAATATTCACTGGTCATATCTTTAATCTTGTTTGTCATATTGGTATGTACAGGACAGCACTGGTATAATTGGCAATTACCGATTTGTAGTTTCTGGAGCCAAGCTATGATTGTGACGTCCTATCTTCAGTGTTTGGTTAGACAGGCAATTTCTTAATACCTTCTCTTGGGTTTCATTCCAGCAGTTTACCTTTTTCATTTGTGATGACACATTTTCTAGAATCCCTTTGACACCTTTTTTTCCCATCTCAGTTTACAAATGTAGTTACAACATAATATCAAGGGAATTTTCAAGGTTTTCAATCTTTTTTCAATGGTTATATTTCTCAACATCTGGAGTCATTTTGTAGCATGTTTTTGCATATTATGATTTATGGGGCTGTATGACCCTGGTAGGTTTAGCACTTACTTTTGATTATAACAATATGATTTATGGTAATTGTTTATCACGTGGATGACACACTGCCATGGCATATTCCAAATATGGTCTAACATATGTTGTGAACCATAGATACAAACCCTCAAATTTGGAACTACTAAATTCTGCTCAAAACTAGCCACTTTATAAGACTATATATTCTAAATATTGTTCAATAAAATTTAATTTGTAAATAATGGCTTGGTTGGCCAGGTTAAACATCATTCAATCTGGCCAGTAACTGTTACGAAAAGAACGGCTATATACAAACAATCCAGCTTCCTCTCAATAAACTTTTTTCTGATAATTCATGTATGACTTATCATTATTATCATAAGGTGCTGCTGACCCTAGGGGTCAGTGTTGGGGAATGAGAGGTTTTGTGGTTTGATTGAAGAAACAGAAATCCTTCACTGTATCAAGACACCCCTTCCCCTCCCTTTAAAGGGAACTCGTGTGTAAACCAGAAAACAAGTAAGACTGAACACTCATCTACATGTTATAAACCCTCAATTTAAGGGAATACAGGTGGCCCTCCACATTCGCAAGGGTTAGGAGATCAAGAACCTCATGAATCTTGAAAATTTGCGAATGTTTGGTGTACAAATATGATGTAGGGAAACATAATAATATGTACTGTAGTGTTTGTGAATTTTTGATACGCAAATACGTATATTATAGGGAAATATAATACAGTGGTCCCCCGCTTTTCGTAGTTCCCGGCAATCGTAAAATTCGCCAATCATAGGGGTATTTTCGAATAAACATGGACTTGCTTTTCATAGGTTGACTTGCGAGTCGTAGTTCGTCTGGGACGCGTACCCACAGCGTGAGCCAGGGCGGCAGCCAGTCTGGCATTGTTTACCAGTGAGCGAAGGTCCCCTCACGTGCTCCAGCAAAATATTCCATAATATTCCATTTATTTTAGTGCTTGCAAGTACTAAATAAGCTACCATGGCTCCAAAGACAGCTCCTAGTGCCAAGCCTGTGGTAAAGAAGGTGAGAAATACGATTGAATTTAAGAAAACCATCATTGAACAATATGAAAGTGGTACAAGTGTGGCCGAACTGTCCAGGATGTATAAGAAACCCTACACAACCTTATGTTCCATAGTGGCCAAGAAAAATGAAATAAAGGATGCTGTTGTTGCAAAGGGAGTAACTATGCTGACAAAAATGAGATCACCAGTACTGGAAGAGGTTGAGAAGTTATTATTGGTGTGGATAAATGAGAAACAATTAGCAGGAGATACTCTTATGACTTCGTTTATTTGTGAAAAGGCTAGGCAGTTGCATGAAGATTTGGTAAAGAAATTGCCTGCAAATAGTGGTGAAGTGAGTGAATTTAAGGCCAGCAAAGGCTGGTTTGAGAGATTTAAGAACCGTACTGGCATACACAGTGTGGTAAGGCATGGTGAGGCTCCCAGTTCAGACCACAAGGTGGCTGAAAAATATGTGCATGAATTCCAGGAGTACATAGAGGCTGAAGGACTGAAACCTGAACAAGTGTTCAATTGTGACGAAACAGGCCTCTTTTGGAAGAAAATGCCAAAGAGGACCTTCATTACATAAGAGGAAAAGGCAATGCCAGGACACAAGCCTATGAAAGACAGGCTGACGCTAATGTTCTGTGCTAATGCTAGTGGGGATTTCAAAGTGAAGCCATTACTAATGTACCATTCTGAAAATCCCAGTGTGTTCAGGAAAAACAATGTTATGAAGAGTAAATTGTGTGTGTTTTGGAAATCTAATAGTAAGGCATGGGTCACGAGGGAAATTTTCATCGAGTGGTTCAATGAAGTGTTTGGCCCTAGTGTGAAGGAGTATCTCCTGGAAAAGAAATTGGATCTCAAGTGCGTGCTAGTAATGGACAATCCCACCTGCTCATCCTCCAAACTTGGATGACCTAATTTTCGAGGAGTTTGGGCTCATCACAGTAAAGTTCTTGCCCCCGAATACCACTCCTCTCCTCCAACCCATGGACCAGCAGGTTATTGCAAACTTTAAAAAACTCTACACAAAAGCAATGTTTCACAGGTGCTTGACTGTGACCACAGACACTCACTTGACCCTAAGGGAATTTTGGAGAGAACACTTCAGCATCCTCCACTGCATAACCCTTATAGGTATGGCTTGGGAGGGAGTGACTACCAGGACTTTGAACTCTGCCTGGAGAAAATTGTGGCCAGATTGTGTCGAAAAGAGGGATTTTGAAGGATTTGGGACTGACCCTAATGAGCCTATGTCTGTTGTAAAATCAATTGTGGCACTGGGGAGTTCCATGGGGTTGGATGTGAGTTTGGAAGATGTGGAAGAATTGGTGGAAGACCACAATGAAGAGCTCACCACTGAGGAGCTGCAAGAGCAACACATTGCAGCTCAGAATCTTGCTGCAGAGGAGGAGGAAGAGATGGAAGAAGGTGCCTTCTTCACAAATTAAAGAGATTTTTACTATCTGGGGTAAGATGGAAAGCTTTATGGAGAAACATCACCCTAACAAGGTTGTTGCAAGCCAGGTTGGCAACATGTACAGTGACAAAGTCTTGGGCCATTTTAGGGAAGTGTTAAAGAGACGCCAGAAACAGAGCTCTCTCCACAGTTATTTTGTGAGACAGGACTCCAGTGACTCTCAAGGTGGTCCTAGTGGCATTAAGAAACAGAGAAGAGAAGCAACCCCAGAAAAGCAAATGGTACCTGAGGTGTTGATGGAAGGGGATTCCCCTTCCAAACTATAAACAATCCACTCTCTCTCCTCCTCCAGTCTCCCATACACTAAGAAGAATCTCCAATAAAGGTAAGTGCTATGCTGTTAATGTTTCATTCATCATTTCCCATTGTATTGTTTATGTACTACATGTATATTTCATGTTAAAATTTTTTTTGTTTTAATACTTCTGGGTGTCAGGAATGGATTAATTGTATTTACATTACATGTATTTCTTATGGGGAAAATTGATTCGTAAATCGTAAATTTCATTTATAGTAACGGCTCCAGGAACGGATTAATTACGAACAACAAGGGACCACTGTAATAGCATTTACTTAGTTATGGTTTAATGACAAATAATGAACAAACAAAACACTCATCACTCATAAGGTTAGGCAGACGAACTCTGACGACTTGTGATGATGATGATGATGATGGCAATGACGATGATGATGGAGATGCTAGTTAGCCATGCAATTACTGATGACAGTTGAATGGAGGTGATTATATGGAGTGTAACTGCATGGCATGATGAGTCTAGTGTGTAGATTCTAACTCTTCACTGCCAGCGTCACTGCCGACATCGCTAGAGTCAGAGTTAGCAACGGAGTCAGCAACGGCTAGAGTCAGAGTTAGCAACGGCTGGGCATTCGTGAATGTTTGAAGCTCGCTAAAGTGGAGGGCTAGCTGTAATAGGAAAAAGCAGGTGTGCAGAAATGGTAATGGTGGTGGACAGCCAATAAGTGGTATTGGAGCAATTGTAGCAATAACTGATAAGTCGGTAACCAGCGGTCTCTGTCTGTTATTTCTCAACCAGTTGACGCAAAGGATTTTGTCCCACGTTTTCAAAGTCCGTTAAATCATGGCCCATTAAACCTTCAATAAACTGAAGGCTTCCCATACTTTAGTTTTATTTTAATGTTTGCTACTATTTTGGTTTAAATTACCTACAAAACTGAATACAGTTATCCTAAATCATTAAACAACTGTTTCATGAAAATAATGATTACCACATACCTGTGTTATACAGTGTATTTTACTACAATTATTCTCACCTGAGAATAAGACATCTTCAAAAGACAGTCCAGTCTCTAGTCCTCGGGTGCTACAGTACTTCATGGTTTCTACTTTTGTTCAATTCTTCAGTTAATGGGAAACCTGTAAATGAAGTTAAACAGCTACAAGCAGATTCATATGGAAATCTTAACATATTTTCTTGTCTTGCCATCAGTTCTAATTCCTAAGATAAAGACCCTTTCATTAGTTTATATACAAGGCCCATAAATCTTCAATCTACCATTAGATATAAGGTAAGTTTATTTAGGTACAGGTACGCACAAGTACAGTTATAAAAATTTAGCTGATTACAATTATCATACTTTTTTTTCAAGATGCTGGCCGTCTCCCACTGAGGCAAGGTGATCCAAAAAAGAAAGAAATACTACTTTCACCATCATTCACACATAATCACTGTCTTTGCAGAGGCACACGAACACAACAGTTCAGATGTCAGTCCAAGCAGCAAACCCCTCCTTTACACTGCAGGCATTGTACTTCCCACCTCCAGATTCAACTCCATCTGACAGATTTCCCTGAATCCCTTCACATAATACTACCCTGCTTACACTCCAACAGCTTGTTAGGTCCAAAAACCATTCATCTCCACTCACTCCTATCTAACATGCTCACACATACCTGCTGTATGTCCAAGCCCCAAACCTCTTTTACCCCCTCCCTCCATCCTTTCCTAGGTGACCCCTACCCCTCCTCCCCTCCGCTATGGATTTATACACCCTATTTTGCTCTATCTTCTCTAAATGACCAAACCACCTCAACAACCCCTCCTCAGCCCTCTGAAAATATTTATAGTAACCCCAAACTCTCCTAATTTCCTTTTACAAATTCTTGTAAATACCTACACCACTCATTGCCCTTAAGACAAGACATCTCCACTGCCTCCAGCTCCTTTCTGCAGCATTTACAACCATGCTCCCTCCTTGGGTGGTACATAACTCCATACAGTCCCTTCTTTGCTCCATGGATAATGTTCTTTGTTTCCACAGATACTGTACCTCAATGCACCACTCACCTTTTTTTCTTCATTGACTCCATGGTTTACTTCATCCTTCATAAACCCATCCACCGACAAGCCTACTCCCAAATACAGTGGACCCCCGCATAACGATTACCTCCGAATGCGACCAATTATGTAAGTGTAATTATGTAAGTGCGTTTGTACGTGTATGTTTGGGGGTCTGAAATGGACTAATCTACTTCACAATATTCCTTATGGGAACAAATTCGGTCAGTACTGGCACCTGAACATACTTCTGGAGTGAAAAAATATCGTTAACTGGGGGTCCACTGTATCTGAATACATTCACTTCTTCCATACTCCCTCCTTCCAATCTGATATTCAATTTTTCCTTCCTTATCTAAATCGTTTGATACCCTCATCATCTTACTGTATATCTATGCTAACTTTCAACTTTCTTCCTTTATACACCCTCCCAAACTTGTCTACTAACCTTCACAACTTTTTTTTAGAATCTCCCAAAAGCACAGTATCATCAGCAAAAAGTAACTATCAACTCCCATTTTTGCACCTGAATCTGCATAATTTAATCCCACCCCTCTCCCCAACAACCTAGCATTATCATACATAGTAAAATATGTGTAATTACCTAAGATAATCCCCCCAAAAAGTCAGAGTAAGTGACTTATTTCCACTGGGGTCCCTGTAATATCTTATTATTTGAAGATTAGCTGTAAGATACAGAAGAAATAATCATGATTAAAACAACAAGTAACTAGGTGTTACTCATCGGTTGTGGGTCGCATCCTGGGGGAGAAGATTAAAGTACCCCCAACAAAAATAGAACAGACTGTCCTCAAAGGTAAGCTGACTTTATTGGGTTATCCTTGGTTACTAACCCTCAGGGTTAGTAACCAAGAAGGTACAGGTACACATAAGTACAATTATCATATACATATAGTTATGAATGTCTAAATTACCTAGGATGACCCAAAAAAAAAAATCAGTGACTTATTACTTAAAGCTTAGCTGTAAGATACAGTAGAAAAATCATGGTATGGATGGGGATTGAACTCGCGGTGAGTGATTCGTAAAACTCCAGACTGACGCATTAGCCAATTGTGTCATTACGATTTCCTGAGTCAAGATACAGTAGAACTTAATCAGGATTATAACCTTTAAAGTTAAAAGAGCTAAGAAACTCAACTGTGTGAAAATGAGTTACAGTAAAAGGAGATACAATAGGAATAAGGTGAACTGAGTTATTTATAAGAACATTAGAGAGGATCAGCTTGCAATAATAAGTACACTATGTATGATAATACATATGTTGCTATGTATGATAATACATATGTTGCTATGTATGATAATACATATGTTGCTATGTATGATAATTTATGTAACTGTATTTATGTGCACCTGTACCTGAATAAACTTACTTAACACCAATGTTAGCTATACAACAAATCCCTCTTCATTAGGTACCTTTTAGTACTCTTCCTGAACTGGCTCAAGCTATGACTGGCTTTGACATCTGCAGGCAAGCCATTCCACTCCTTTACTACTTTATAATATATGGTGTTTGAAGCCTGACCACCTATTGTGGGTACTACAAAACTGTGTTCCCCTTCCCTAGTACCATACAGGTTTGGGTTCCCAGCCTTGACAAACTTGCCAGCAAGATATTGTGGACACTGTAACAAATTTCATAAACATCATTTAACTTCAGTTGCTTTACTCAATCTTCAACATTCAGCATATACAGTTGTTGTAATTCATCCTAGCCTACATTCTCTCTTGGACTAAGTTTTAGGCACAGGTACACATAAAGTACAATTATCATACATAGTGTAAATTACCTAGGATAATTAAAAAAACAAAAACAAAATGACTTATTTCCATCAGGGTCAGAGGCCTAGGATGAATCTCACCATTTTGACCTGGGTGACTTGTAGTCTGTCTTTCTTTCTTTTTTTTTTTTTTTTGTTCAAGTAGAGTACCATGAAGAATGAGAATAATCTACATGACATTACATGTCATGTAGATTATTCATGTAATCTACATGACATTACATGTCATGTAGATTATTCTCATTCTCACAGGGTCCTGTGAGCCTCAGTAAGTAGACAGTCTGTCTCTAGATTATTATAGTAAAAAAGAAGCGCTAAACCACATGGGCTATACAGTATTTGTCTCTAGAGGAACTTCAGCCTGGCATTACCTTTCTTTACTAACAAACAAAGTTTATTTCTTTGCAAAGCTTACTTCTTTGTAATTACAATAATGGGGGTACAGTACAAAGAGCCACTATCATGCCTAGGCATTATGGGCAGACTCAATTTAATGGCTTACTGACTACTTAATACTAAACAAATTGATCATAGTTTAAGTTATATATCTTTGTTATAACAGACAGTAGTCTTCACCATCAATTCTCCTGACATGCTTGTGGCCTGGTGGCTAAAGCTCCCGCTTCACACACGGAGGGCCCGGGTTCGATTCCCGGCGGGTGGAAACATTCCGACACGTTTCCTTACACCTGTTGTCCTGTTCACCTAGCAGCAAATAGGTACCTGGGTGTTAGTCGACTGGTGTGGGTCGCATCCTGGGGGACAAGATTAAGGACCCCAATGGAAATAAGTTAGACAGTCCTCGATGACGCACTGACTTTCTTGGGTTATCCTGGGTGGCTAACCCTCCGGGGTTAAAAATCCGAATGAAATCTTATCTTATCTTGACTCACTGAACATACTAAGTGATGGGTTCCCATTACAATGGACATTAAAATTATTTACCAGTTTCAGTTCACTTTTAGAGACAAATAATATAATGGGTTGTGTCTTCCCGAGGTGTAGTTTGTTGTCTACTAACCATTTGCCACATTACACTAGTTCTAGTGATAATATATAAGAACATAAGAAAGAAGGTTGTTGCAGGCCTACTGGTCCATGCTAGGCAGGTCCATTTCACACCTACTTCAGGAGGAAGGAGCAGCACTGCTGGACTAAGTTAAGGTATAACTCACACATGTACTTGTTGAAGCTATTTTTAAAGCTACACAAGATGAGTTCCACTCATCCACAACTCATTTATTAAACCAGTGTTTTCCTACATCATTATTTTTTTTTAGGATTATTATTATTATTATAATCATGGGGAGCGCTAAACCCGTAGGATTATACACCGCATGTGGGAGGGGAATGGAAGGTATATTTTTTTTAACTAAACGCATTGCTGCGAGTTCTGTCTTGGTTAGATATTTTTAACGTTATTTACACCTCACTTTATTCCTGTTTTCCAATGGAAATAAGTAACTTTGATTTTATTGGTTTATCGTGAGTAATTTACACTATAAGTGTACTTATGTGTACTTGTACCTAACTAAACTTACGCCTAGATCACATTCCCTCTAATTCTACGGTTTTCTAAAGTGCAGATTCAGTGTCCTCAATCTATCCTAGTAAGTTATTCAGGTACAGGTACACATAAATAGTTACATAAATCGTCATACATAGCAGCATATATGTAGGTTACCCAAGATAACCCTCCCCCCCCCCAAAAAAAAAAAAAAAAAAAAAATCTAAGTGATGTTTTTCCACTGGGCTGGGAAAGATTTCTGATACATGGGATTAACTTTGTCATCATTCTCTGTACTATTTCCATTGCATTTACGTCCATTCTCTAATACATTGAGCAGTAGTAGCACATAGCTATATCTTGTGGGTCTTTACCTGAGACTAACAAAGTACTGTTGCCTGCGTACAACAAAGGATTAAACTTGACAACGATAGATAGATAAGATTTCGTTCGGATTTTCAACCCCGGAGGGTTAGCCACCCACGATAACCAGAGAAGGTCAGTGCATCACCGAGGATGTCTTAACTTACACTGGGGTCCTCAATCTTGTCCCCCAGGATGCAACCCACACCAGTCGACTAACATTTCACATAACATAAAATAGTCAAGGACCCAGAATATTACCTTGGGGAACCCCACATGCTATCAGCAGGGCTCTTGATTCTGTATTATTGATCTTAACAATTTGTTTCCTGTTGCTCAGGTAGGACTTGAAAGTCTCCAGAGCCTTAGTCGATAGGTTGTAGTTTCTTATGTAATAAGTTAACTATATCGATTGACTTTGTAAGTCTGGGGTCACCATACCTATGTGATTCCATAACATTTGAGTTCTCAGGTAGTCCACTAGATTAATTAAGATTATTATTATTATAATCAAGGGGGAAGCGCTAAACCCGGAGGATTATACAGCGTTTGGGGGGGGATGTGGAAGGCATTCAGGCTTAATTCGGGGAACTGGAGCACAGATCCAATTCCCTAAATCAAGAGCCCCTCACCAACATCAAGGAACCTTCCTTGAGGGGATTAATTAAGAGAGGTGTGTGAAAATTTGTGTGGACTGCCTCCAAGTGAGTCACCTACCCTGGCAAACTGTTGACACCGAGCTCTGAGGTGGGTACCTCAGCCTCACAAGTGGCTTATAGGACAGATTTTCACAAATGATTGATGTTGCAAGAAACTCGCCTGCATGCACGTATAAAGGACTAACTTACTTAGTGTTGCAGCAAATATCCTTATCTTCAACCTTCCTAAGCTTAGCCCCTTTGGACTTCCCCTCAGAAACCACGTGCAACCGGCCTGCACCTCAGAAATTCCTATATCCAAGGGGGTGTGTATCCCCTAGTACAACTATGCAGACACGGACACTAGCTTCTAGGTAGACAAGAGACACTGGTACGCGTGCAGCCAACAGTAACAGCCTGGTTGATCAGGCTCTGATCCACCAGGAGGCCTGGTCACAGACCGGGCCGCGGGGGCGTTGACCTCCGGAACTCTCTCCAGGTAAACTCCAGGTAAACGTACTGGGCATGCACTGCCAGTTGCATACAGGCCTACAGTTCAACTCATTCACAATTTTCCCCCAGACACTGGCCAGAAATCCTAAGAGAAAGTGGAGGTTTTGTCTTACTGTAAGTACAGGTCACAGTGGTGACCTGTACTTAACTCAGTGGTGACCTGTACTTAACTCTGTGAAGAAGTGTCTTGTTTGCTCCCATGGACTGAACCAAGATGCCCTCCATCGAGCAACTTTACCAGCAACTTAAGGAAGAATTGAGGGCAGCGAAGATGGAGATACGGCGATTGACAGAGGAAAACAAGAAGATTCGTAGTAGTCCTCCTGTTTCAAGTCCTCAGGTCAAGAAGGGATCGTGGTCAGTGGCTGGACAGCAGGGGACAACGAAGTTGACGATCAAGAAGACGAATGGAAAGCCAGAAACGATGAAGAAGAAAGAGACTGCTGTGGAAACTCCTGTGGAAACCTCCAACGCATTCTCGGTGCTACCCGACGAATGTGAGTCGACTACTGGGATCGTCACGACGAACGACAGCAAGGAAGGTAAGAATATTGTTGTTGTTGGGGATAGCCAGGTTAGATACATGGATAGGGCATTCTGCTTGAAGGACAGGAGTAGGAGACAAAGGGTATGCTTTCCTGGGGCTGGGATGGAGGATATTGTTAGCCGGCTTGACAACATCATGAACGGTAATGGGATCAATCCTATTATTTGCCTCAGTGCTGGAGGCAATGATGTAGGCAAGCGTAGAAGTGAGGATTTAGTTAGAAAGTTCAGGACAGCTATAGACATAATAGGAAGAAGGGGGGGGGCACCCTGTTATATGTGGCATTTTGCCAAGAAGAGGTGTTGGTAATGAATGGTTGTCCAGAGCAATTGGTATTAATTGTTGGCTGGATAAACACTGTAAGGATAATGCAGTACCATTCATTGACAACTAGGACAACTTCTATGGCCGAAATGACATGTATGCCAGGGATGGGGTTCACTTATCCAGGGCAGGTGTGGGTTTTCTTGCTAACTCAGTTGAGGGGGTTGTTAGGACTTTAAACTAGGATTAGTTAGAGGTATGGGTTTAGAAATGATAAATAATGAGTATGGATATATTGACTTATGCTCTGATATTAAGAATCTTAATAGTAACTGTCATGGAGTAACTCTGGGTAATGATAATTTCAGAAATTGTGTAAAAAGAAAGATGAATAGGAAAAATGTGCAGAAGAAAAAAACATGTGATGGTATTTTATGCTAACAGTCGAAGTGCAAGAAATAAAATTAATGAACTACGTTTGGTAGCATGTGCTGGGAACTTTGATATCATTGCATTAACTGAAACGTGGTATGATTTAAAGAGTCGGGATATGACTGCTGATTGTAATATTTAGGGATTTAAGTTGTTCAATGTGGATAGATGTAATGGGAAGGGGGGAGGAGTTGCATTGTATGTTCGAGAAAATATTAATTGTTGCATAAAAACAGGTATAAAAATAGATGGAGCAGTAACAGAGTCTGTTTGGGTAGAGTTCGTGGAGGGTCAAGAAAAACTAATTCTAGGTGTAATATACCGACCTCCAGGCTTGGATCACGATAGAGGGAGACTTCTTTGGGACGAAATTGTTAGGGCTTCTGGACACAGTAACATAGTCATAGTAGGGGACTTTAACTTTAGTCAAATTGACTGGAATTCTTTGACAGGTAATCTAGAGTCCAGTGACTTTATGGAAACAGTTCAGGACTGTTTTCTGAAACAGAGCGTAACTGAGCCTACCAGGGGTAATAATTTGCTAGACCTAGTCTTGTCAAATAAGGAAACACTCGTGAATAATCTGGAGATCACTGAAGAGCTTGGCGCAAGTGATCACAAATCCATCACTTTTAGCATTAATTGGGAATGCAAGAATAATGATAATACAGTAAAAATCCCTGATTTTAGTTCTGCCGATTATAATGGACTTAGGGAACATCTGTCTAATCTTGATTGGGGTTATCTAGCTAATGATTTTATTGATGATAATCATACTTATGAATATGAAGGGATCTGCTTTTATGATTGTTTTCTTAATAATGTACACAGTGCCCAGAGTATATACATTCCCCAGAGAGAAATTAGGTCTAATAATAACGATCCCAAATGGGTTAACAGGAGGCTAAAGCATCTATTAGGGGAGAAAAGGGGAATTTATAGGCGCATCAGAAGAGGAGAGGTTAACCTTACTGACCAATATGTTCAGCTTAAAAGGAAAGTAGAAAAGGCGATTAGAAAGGCTAAACGTGACTATGAAATTAGAGTTGCTAATGAATCAAAGACTAATCCAAAGGGGTTCTTTCAAGTGTATAGGACGAAGGTGAAGGAAAAAGTAGGACCTCTGAAAACTGGGAATGGACAGCTGACGGATAATGAACTGGAAATGTGTTTCTTATTTAATGACTATTTTTTGTCAGTTTTTACACAGGAAGATGTAAATGAAATTCCAGTAATTAACAATTATTTAGTTCCTGATGAATTTAAGTTAACTAATATTACTGTCACGAGGGACATGGTTATTAAACAGATAGACAAACTGAAACAAAATAAGTCCCCGGGACCCGATGAGTTGTTTTCAAGGGTACTTAAGGAATGCAAGATGGAGCTTAGTCAGCCATTAACGAGTGTATTCAATGCGTCCATCCTTACCAGTGTTGTGCCAGAGTTGTGGAAGATGGCTAATGTGGTTCCTATATTCAAATCAGGGGATAAGTCCACTCCTTCAAATTACCGTCCAATAAGCCTGACATCTATAGTGGGCAAGTTATTAGAATCAATTATAGCTGACATTATCAGAAGTCACCTTGAAGAGCATAACTTGATAAATGAATCTCAGCATGGATTCATGAGAGGTCGTTCCTGCCTGACAAACTTACTGACGTTCTTCAATAGAACACTTGAGGCAGTTGACAGTGATAAGGAATATGATATTGTTTATTTGGATTTTAGTAAAGCCTTCGACAGAGTACCTCACAAGAGACTCTTAAGAAAAGTGGCAGCTCATGGTATAGGACGTAAAGTTCTAGCATGGATTGAGGCATGGCTTACCAATAGAAAGCAGAGAGTTACCATTAATGGAGTGAAATCTGAATGGGGATTAGTCACTAGTGGCGTTCCACAAGGATCAGTTTTAGGCCCTCTCCTGTTCATAATTTACATTAATGACCTTGATGAAGGGATTACTAGTGACAT